GCAGGATCCAATGTGGGTTGGTTACCGGGACCAGAAGTTTTGTCTTTCAAGCTTTCGGACTCTACCTGTTGGAGCCCACCTTCAGGGAACTTCTTTCTAGCAGAATGTGTGCTGTTCTGTGGGTGGTATTTATAGTGCCTGTTGTAAGTGGCTTTTTAGATGTTGATTAGGGTGTGTTGATGGTTGGCTTTTAAGTCATTATGACTAATGACTTAATAGGCAGACATCAACACACCCTATAAATACCACACAGAAAACAGACACATTCTACTAGAGAGAAGTTCCCTGAAGATGGGCTCCAGCATGAGTATGAAAGCTCGGAAGACAAAACCTCTGGTCCGGTGACCAACCCAGATTGGATCCTGCAACATTAACCTGGAACACACCTGGGTCTTCATCTGTGACTAATTTTATTTATTAATTTTTAAAAAAGAGATACTGTACAGGGAAGATTTTACCATATCATGTTTCTAATGAAACCTTTTCTAATCTTTTTTAGAACTTGCCAATCACTATTCTAGATTATTTAGAAAATAATACTTTTGTATTCCAATGATTTGTTAAACTGAAGAAGGAAATTTAACAAAACTAAAGGATTTGGGGTAATTTTTTATTTAAGAAGACATTGATTTCTATTTGTATCTTACAGACCAAGTATCTTGGTTCACAAAGCAGTACAGGTAGTCCTTAACTTATGACCACAATAGAGCCCAAAATTTCTGTTGTTAAATGAGGCATTTGTTAAGTGAGTTTTGCCATTTTACGACATTTCTTGCCACAGTTGTTAAGTGAATAATTGAAGTTGTTAAAGTTTGTAACCTGGTAATTAAGTGAATCTGGCTTCCCCATTGACTTTGCTTGTCAGAAGTTCACAAAAGATGATTACGTTACCCCGGGACATTGCAACTGTCATAAATATGAACCAGTTGCCAAGCATCTGAATTTTAATCATATAACCATGGGAATACTGCAAAGATTGTAACTCAAAAATGGTCATACGTCACTTTATCCAGTGCTGTTGTAACTTTGAATGGTCACTAAAAGAGCTGTTGTCAGTTGAGGACTATACTTTATCACATAGCACCACACACATTTCCATCCTCAGCTTCTCTAACATTAAGTGAAAAATTATTAGATATATGTGCAGTTTTACAGATATTACTATCTATGAATAGAATTCAAATTAACAAGTCACAATCTGGCATCCAGTTAAAATATAATAAATCTTTCTTGTAATCTAAATTAAGCAAGATACGAATTCCATGAAAAGGGAGATGTGTTAAACTTCTCTCTTTCCATAAACTATGGAAACAATGTCTTTGGAGTATTGCTGGTAAATAGATATGCTAATTATTTTGTTCTCAGTGTTCTGGAAATTGGGGAGGATAAAAAAAATGCCAGCTTTAGGTTCTGAGGCTTCAAGTGAGAAATTGTCAAGATAGTAATATATCTGAGTCTCAATCCACTTAATCCAGTTAAAAGATAACAATATATTTGAAGGATCACTTCTCCTATTACATCCACCTGGCCCACCAGGACAGCAGAGCATATTATGGGTCTCATCGATTAGGGACTGTGGTATGATGGGACCATGAAAAAAGGCCTTCATGATTGTGGTCCCTTCTTTATGAACATCATTTCCCCCACAATTGGGGGAACGATTGGCTTGCACTCTGTTGCTTTTTGAAAAGACCCTAAAAATGTGGCTTTGTCAGAGGGCCTGGGGACCATGAATGGAAAGGAGCTGATCAAGTGGCTGATTTGACCGTGTTGCTGCTACCATGGGATGGTGGGGGTGGAGTTGCAGTGGTGGTGTTGTTGTTAATGGGTTTTTATTACATAATGGATTTTTAAAATTTGATAAGTCACTTGGAATCACCTATGTATGAGTTGGGCAGCTATATTAATTTTGTTTTAACAAATAATAAACGTAGAACCAATCTTATCTAAATCTAAACTTAGTATTATATATCTTAGCTATAGTATGCTTTTTCAAATATCACAAATCAATTTATACTTTATATTGTAGCTAGGCATAGGGCCTAGCTATCTTCGAGACCGCCTGCTGCCACCGACGACCTCCCATCAACCCGTTCGCTCCCACAGAGAGGGCCTCCTCAGTGTAGGCTGGTGACCCCCAGGGGGAGGGCCTTCTCTGTGGGGGCACTTACCCTTTGGAATCAGTTGCCCCCCGAGATAAGGAGAATCCAAGACCTCAGTGCCTTCCGCCGTGCCCTTAAAACCTTCTTTTTCCAGCAAGCCGGGCTGGCCTAATTTTTTTAAGTGTTTTTAATTGTTTTGTTTATCGTTTTAAATTAATGGGGCCAAATTTATATATATCTTTTAATTGTATTTTAATATTTGTATTTGATGTTTTTACTTGGCGATTCACCGCCCTGAGTCCTCAGGGAGAAGGGCGGTATACAAATTCAAAATAAAATAAAATAAAAATAAAATATTAATCAAACATGAATAGTTCAGCTATTTTTTGTACCTTCCCTAATAGTATCTTGGGTAATTAATAGTAGACTAGTTTACATATGTAAACAGGTTACTCTTATGTTGAAATCAGGATCTTATTCCTATAGAAAATTTTAAATTACAATTATTTTCTTCCCAAGAAGAGGACATTACATCTAGTATTGAACATGTGCAGAGGATGCCCTCAATCCAGAAGTCACAGGGCTTGGATCTTTATTCTTAGAAATTGACATACAATTTCCCCGTCCGAAGAACCGATGTAATCAGTTAAAATAGTAAGGGAAAAACAACCTGAAATCCAGTGGTGAAATCTAATTTTTTTTACTATCAGTTCTGTGGGCTTGGCTTGGTGAGCGTGACAGGGGAAGGATATACTGCAAAATCCCCATCCCCTCCCCACTCCAGGGGAAGGATATACTGCAAAATCCCCATCCCCTCCCCACTCCAGGGGAAGGATACTGCAAAATCCCCATTTCCTCTCCACTCCTGGGGGAAGGATATTGCAAAATCTCCATTCCCACCCCACTTTGGGGCCAGCCAGAGGTGGTATTTGCCAGTTCTCTGAATTCTCCGAACTGCTCAAAATTTCCACTACCGGTTCTCCAGAACCTGTCAGAACCTGCTGAATTTCACCCCTGCTGAAATCCATATGATTGGAAAAAATCTGCAGAAAGAAATCAGTTGAAACAAATCTGTAAAGTGGGTTTGAACAGGCTAGTAGAAGGCAGTAACGTATATTTCACCCCATTACCCGCAGAACTTCCAACCTACAACACCAAGTGTTTTAGTTTAGTTTTTAGTTTGTACCAAGTCACAGAAACCGGAACAAGGGAAGAGAACGCTAACTCGGCCGAAGCCTATATAGTCATTCGCCCTGAATTGGGAAGTCTCTTGCCGCCACAGGCAGAATGAAAGTGCCGTTTCCGGGTTGGGTTGGTTTTTTTTCTGAGGTGCCGAGGCTGAAGGGAAAGGGGCGAGAATGCGGGCGGCAGTTTGGGGGTCTGCGCTGCTCCAGTGCTGGGAGGGCTGCGTGGGAGTCGCTGGCTAGTGGCTGAGGAGCCCCCGCCCTGCCTTCGGCCAGCTTTCGCAGACGCGGCCCTGCCATGGTGGCCCCCGGCGAGCGGTGAGTAGAGGAAGGGGTCTCTCTCCAGCATACAGTAGCGACGGGGCGATCAAGTATCAAAGTCGGTTTAAAATGTGATAAGTAAAATCAACAAAAGTATTTGCTGAGCTTAGAAGGCTAGCAAATCAAAGAACTTCCGATCGGCTGAATGTGCAGGAACCGAGGTGCCTGTTGCATATTTTCTGCCAAGAACTCGAATTCAGGGGCAGTGAAGTGGCAACCCCAAGAAGAGGATTTGTAGGCAGATTCTGAACGGTGGATTAAGTTACTCTTAGTTGCCAGAATAAACCTTATAGGACTTGATTCTGAATAAATAGACCAGACTGGAAATGATAGCTAATGAAGCACTTTTTCTTCATTATTAGCATTTTCTGAGTAACTGTTTCTAACGTGAAGGGATTTGTTGAGACGTGATTTTAATTCTCAACTTTGAAGGATGGTTTTTTTCCTTGTAAAATGAAACGACGATGTATCCAGTCGTTTGGTTTCTGTTTACATGATGTGCTTTGATTTGGTGTGAGGTGTTTTGGTTTGGTGTGACATGTGGTTAGCCACACAGTTCACGTGGTGTAGCGGTTACATTCATTTAATCCACTGAGTCCAAGCAATGTTTAATCCAGAGATTAAATTAAAGTTGATTAGTCTCTACTTGAACATATCCAGGAAAAACAAATATTTTATGGGACAATTGATTCCATTTATCAAATTTCTCTTTTTCTCTTCTTTCCCCACTGTTTATTTGGAAGCTGTCTTTAAAATTATTACATTAAAGCCATTCTTAGTTCTGTAATATGGAACAAGGAAGGGCAAATCTTTTTTCTCTCCTTGTCTTTTCATTGGGTGACTTTAAGCCATCAATCACCTTTCAGTCCAAATCCCAGGAAGCAGTCATTGTACAGACAAAAGAGATCCTCTAAGTATAGGGAAATGACAAAATATTAAAATAAAAATACGAAGGTAGTTTCAGAAGGATGTCATACACAATACTGCGTATATTAAGAACTTGTGTTTTCCTTTTCTCAGACTTACAAAAGCAATTTGTGGTAATGCATGAAGCACATATACTTTATCAGCCTTTCCCTGATTTGATACTACTGTTTTTTTCTTTCTCTTCTTATAGTGTTCTGTTTTTATTTTTGAATGGGCTGTTTAGATGTGTATGTATATAGTAATATAAGCTGCCAAGATCATATTTTATTATGGCAGCATACAATTATGATTAATAAATACAGAAAAAATAAAATAGTGAAAATAATGAACTCGGTTCACGTCTTATTCCTACTATTAATTTATTATATGGTTTATGCTAAATCTTATTATACATTTTCCTCAATAGTTTCTGGAATTTTTTAAATTATACATTCTAATTTTTAATATTTTTAATATTTTATTTTAGCTTTGGACTTTTGGTCTTGTTTCTTTGGGTTTGGAGATCTGGTAAGTTATTATAATGTTAGATTTATTCAAGTATAAAGCATGTTTTTAAAAACTGTATATGTTAATGGAAATGATCACAGCTATTTTGACTTCAGGGCAAATTATACAAAGGCAAGGATTTTTTAATGTGTTTGCCTGTATTCTAAATGCAGTTGAACTATTAAATTAACTTTCCCTTACTCTTAAATATTTTTCAATAAAATACTGATATTCTCAGGGATTTTTCCTTAAATAATCAAACCCCGATATAGATATTAAGCTTAGTTTCTGTGGTAATGACAGAACTAAGACAAGCACTGACCAGGTATTAGATGGAATTGTATTTCCATTAGATTCAACTGAAATTATATTAGTTGAAAGATCGTTGATAGAAAAGGTATGATAAAGAGGAATAGAGGCCAACAGGGAGGTTTCTTATTAAGAATTCAGACAAGTCCATTCTTCCTTTAAATTTGCCATTGTGTTTTCCTCAGTTGTGTATGTTTTCTGTTGATATTTTAAATTATTAGCTGCCCAAATTCACTACTGGAAGACAGATGGCCATTTAAGCAAATAAATTAGTCGGTTTTTCAGTGTGAACTGTAAACACTGAATAAAGAGAATGCACACAAATGCATTGTCACATCCATTGCTTATAATCAGCTGCATAACAAATCTGTACAGAAATATGCAGAACAAATAAAGTTTCAGTACAAATTTAAACACAGGAGCCCAGTGACCTTTACTTTATTTTGTTTATTATTTATTTAATTTCTATAGCCACCCATCTCAACAAATGTCTCAATATAAAATAAATATATATGATCATCAAGTAAAACTGTTGCGCTTAGCATACTTGGGCCCCCACACTCAGGACCCCAGGCATCAGGCTGGATCATGACGGCCTTATGAAAGGCCAACAGGGTTGGGATCATTCTAATCTCTGAAGGGCAGGAGCAGGAGAAGCCACTTCTTACATCCCTGGCAGCCAACATTGCTTGACTCATTGGACCCATAACATGCCCAACCTGCCGGACTGAATTGGATGAGAGAAGAAGGTCCCCTAGGTCAGCGGTCCCCAACCTTTGCGGCCTGGCTGGGGGGGGAGAGAGAACTGGGCTGTGCAAGAGGCAGGCTGGCACATACGCGCAACTGAACTCATGCGAGTGGTAGGCTGGCACACACATGCATGTACACACAGCTCAACTGCAAGTTGAGTTGTGCACGTGTGTGCACGCCAGCCCGCTGCTCACACCAGTTGAGCCATAGGTGTGCATGCATGCCAGCCTATCTCTTGCACAGCCCAGTTCTGAATAGGCCACTGCTCGGTAGTGGGCTATAGCCCAGGGGTTGGGTGCCCTGCCCTAGGTAACCCAGTGCCAAGCATGAAGAACACCAGCAGCCAATGCAGCTCATGTGTTGAATACAGTTGAAGCTTCTGAACGCTCTTCAAAGGCAGTCCCATGTACTTCTGAAGAATAAATAAGAATTTCAGGAGTGAAGAGAATCAAACACAAAGCTGAATCTGGAACAGTGATTTTAATTTTAACTTTGTGAAAATGGAAAGTAGATTATATGATGCAATGCATTTTTTGTATTTTCTTTCTTTTATAGCTGAAACAGAAGTGATTGGCATAATAGGAAGCAGTATTGAATTGCAATGCTCTTATCCAGAAGAAGAATCCTTAAACTACAATACGAATCGAATATTATGGCAAATAAAAGACAGGTTTTCATGCTTTGTAGCTGGTTATTTTCCTAATGAAAATATGGAAGAGGACCAGTGTGAAGAATTCAAACGACGGACTCTATTAAATGAGCCAAAACAAGGCAGTGCTTCTTTGCAGTTGTCAAACATCAGGATAGCAGATGAATTTATCTATGAGTGCATAATACAGAAAAAAATAAATGGACGGTTTAAACTCATTCATAATGAATCCATATCGCTCAAAGTGGCAGGTAAGGATTTATTCTTCTTAGCAAATACTTATGAAGTGTTGTTTTGATGGCCAGATAAGTTATTATGATAAAGATTGGGTTGAAATTTGCTCTCAAAGATAATTTTTCCTCAGCTTGCCAGTCCATAAGAAGAATTGGATAGATGGTGGGAAATTTCTTGTGCACATTTTTAGATTTAGATCTATAAATTAGGGAAGATTTAGAAGGGGCAGATCTGTTAAGCAGAAACGGTTATTGGTTGTTTTTATCTTTGTGCCAGATAAACCAAGTAGTATAGACTGAAGCTGCTGGAAGAGAGCAGGTTCAAAGCTGGAGAGACAATTCTTAAAAGAAGGGGGAATGTGAGATGGAAAACCCAGAAAAATCCAAAAGGGAGATCTACAAAACAGACTGATTGGTGAAATGATATATGCAGAGTTGAAAAGGAAAAATCAGATGTTAGTATAAAGAAGAGTGAATAGGGTGCTGGTTTTCCTAAAAGCTCAATGAAGTTATTTTTCTGTATTTTCTTCATTGACTCCGGTGTTGAAAAGACTATGAGCAAGCAGAAAATGAAAGTACAAAACTGCCTAAAGAAATTAATAAATTAAATTTAAACTAATAAATGTATTAATAAATTAATAAAACAAAGATAATTAAGTTAATTCCTGTATGACTAAAGAAGGGAGATAAAGTACATACTGAAACAACAGATAAACATGTAAATGCACAATAGCAAAGGCCACTATTTAGTAGGAATAAGCACAAATTATTTGTTTGAATGGTACTATAACATTAAACAAAACTTTGCTATGAAAAAGAGTGCCATTGTGTGTGGGTTAAGTGCCTGTCTTCTTTTCAATTTCCAGAACTGTTTTGCAAAACTTCAATATTTGTTAAACTTTAGTATTTGTCAATGAAGGAAAAATGTTCAAAAGTCTTAAATGCTAATTTAGACTGGATGGCAGCAGGTAGACATGAAGACAATTCACTTCCTCACTACATCAATTCTGTCCTCCTGGTAACTGTATGAATTGGAAACACTTGTGCTTATGGAGAGATGCATGTGCTTAGAAAGTATCCTGTACCTGTGGCTGTGTACAGCAGATTATTCACTCTTAGCCAAAGTTTATTTCATCAGTGTATTCCTTGCTGAATAATTTAAAGTTGTCTGCAATTGGATGGCTTGAGGATAACATGAACAACAATGATGCAGGCAATCTCAAATATCCACTTAAATTAGCTATATAATGCCTACTGCCTTTTACTACAATTTAAACAGAATTCTTGGGCATCACATACTTAATTCCTTTTCCTCCAAACTCATTGATGAGGCACTGAAAATATGGGAATGCATCCAGCGGTGAAATCCAGACGGTTCTATCTGGTTCACACGAACCAGTAACACCGGCAGTGGGAGGCTCCGCCCACCCGCCAGGATGTCATTACATCCCATTTTTGACCCTCTGTGCATGCGCAGAAGGCTCTGCGCATGCACAGAAGAGGCACGCACACGCAGAAGAGGCATGCATGCTCACATTCCTGAACCGGTAGCGAAGGTAAGTACATTTCACCACTGAATGCATCTTTTAATGTTGTACTCTATATTATATACTTATGCTAGATGTGCCATTGTGGATTATGCCTTGGAAATGGATGTGAGATATCAAACCCAACTGTGTGCTGTTTGGTACATTTGACCACAAAGAATTAAAGGGGTTAATCTGACAGACTTTCTTATAAAGTTCCAGAGAATACTGTATTCCTACTAAGATGTTGGCAGTATAATCTACTGACGAAGGAGTATATAAATTGTTATATTATCTAGTTCTAAAAAGATTTATCTCCAATCTTATACCTTCTTAGAAAGTGGCAGATAAAATTGTGGGGAAATATGGCTGTAAAATTATACTGCTCTTCTTTTTCTTTTTTTTCCAGCAAATTACAGCAAACCAGTAATAACAGGTCCTGTGCAGCTCGGAGAAGAAATAATGTTTATGTGCAATTCAAGCCATGGCTATCCAGAACAAAAGCTTTATTGGATAAATGAAATGGACAACAGCACCATGAACATAACTGTGCAGTTCACCAAAGAGCTTGATGGGTCTTTCAGTGTATTCAGTACATTGAAGATGAAAGTAGCTTCTGATATAAAGTTAGGGTGTACAATTGAACATAAGCAACTGCATCAAAATATTACTACCACAAGTAAGTTTTTACTTATAGTTTATGTCTTATTTGTAGAATTGATGTGGCAATATACTTCTGTATATATTAAGCAAAATAGGAAAACATGCCAAATCTGGCTTCTGAAAGTCTTTCCAACCATTCAGTAAAGGCTCTGATCTAAATCATGAGATTTAGAAGATGGAAGAGAGTTCAGAGTAGGGGAAAGGCTACATTCCAAATTACTGTCCAGTTGTCTCTTTCTTAAGGATGCATTTTTCTGGAACATTCTCCATAGTCTGACCTGATCTAGCCTATCTTTAATATAATTGTTCTTTTACCAGCTTTTCTTCCTGACACCAAATTTTATTCTATTCTGTTCAGTTTGTGGAAAGTTATCCTGCTGAAAGACAAGAATCCCAAGTCCTCTGACATAAATTTGTCTCAACATTCATTTGGGTTGGAAAGAATAAAAAGACAATTCAATTAATATTTTGTAATTGGGTGGCTTAGTTAATTCAGAAGGTGAAACTTGCCTGCTGTCAAACTGCAGTCTCATGGCTTTTCCTTCCTGTTCAGAATGCCAGAGTGCTTTGGCAGTTGTGCTGGGATAACAATTCTCCTTCTTGCATTATCTAAGTTACTGGAGCTGCCCTCATGGCTATAACAGGGAATTCTGCACTTCCATTTCTCTCCCCAACACAAGTCTCCAAAGCTTCCTTGCCTATTTCCTTCCTGAAAGTAGGACACTGCCTGTCTTGTCCTTGTGATCCTCTTGCAATATAAGGGATTTCCAAATTGAGGTTTTTCCTCACCTGATACATGGAATTGTATGAAGCATCCCAAGGATGCAGTCCTCTTTCTCTATTATGTTTTCTCAATAAGACTTGGTTCTTTTGAATGGTAGAATGAGGACTTCATCTGGAGGCATCCAGATTCTTTTATCCTTCCTTCTTTTCTCATATCTATCACTTTTCCTACTGCCATCTGATTTTTTTCAGCATTTCTAGCACTTCAGTTTCTTTTTTACTTAGGAAGTTGGTTTCAGGATATATTCTGCCCAACACCCCATCTATTTTCCAATGTGCTGACATAGCAATTTCAGTAAAAGATTAGGATTGGAGAGATAACAGATGATGTGGGAAAGGGATAATCAATTATTAAGTGCCATTATCAGCTATAAGCAAAATAGAATAAGTAGCAGGTAAGGCTCTTAATAATTGATATCTTAACAGTATACTTGCCTCATATGATTCAGGTATTTATATACTGGCTTTGAAGAGGTGTTATACACAATGTAGGGTGGGATTCCCAAATTTACTGGGCTAATAAATTTGGGATTTAAGAACATGCCATGAGTACTTTCAGAAAATAACTGCCATGAACTGCATGGCCAGTCACACAAAAAAAGATAATTAGAAGGTAAATTGATGAAGTTACTCCTTGTCTTTCCCTCTGAATGCTAAAGATGATAAGCAGATGGACACACCAGGCTGCAGCTGCCATCACTTTTATGTTCAAAAAAATGCCCCTGGGGTTATGTGAGACTTAAAGAGTTGGTGCTTTCTTTTGCAATGGGGTAATGCCGCTTTTAAACATTTTTTAAAGTTTATTATTTTAATGACAATGATATGCCCAGCAAGCATCAAAGGAAATATTGTTAGCCATGTTGGGTACTCAGGATTTATTAGCCCTGTTATTTGGTGAATTATTTTAAAATTTGCTGTTTGGAATTTTTAAAAACAGTTTCTGATCTGATCCCATGTTGGGGAAGCAAGAATTCCACTGGGGTACTAGTTTAGATATGGATAGAAAATTCTTGAATGATTCTTAATTTAACGTTGCTACTTTTAAAACCTATTTAGTGTGTGGTAACTGTAAACCAATAATGTTCAAGGATTTTTTTTCTTTTCTCCCTATCTTCCTTATTATTGTTCTTATTCAGTTGATTTAAAGAATTCAACAAACAGCCCTATAATTTATAACAAATATCATGAAAGAGCTGTAGCCTTCAGCATTCCTATTGCTGTTCTCATACTTTTTATTGCATGCATAAGCTGGAAAATATGTAAGCATTCTCCTCGAACAACATATACTGGTAAGTAAGCAGTACATAAATTTTTACAAAATTATGTTTAGACGATCATGCAGCTTTCCATTTGTTTTGCCATTTGTTTTGCATGAGAGGGCTTGCAAAAGTGAAAACCATTGCCTGTTTAGCTGTCCATGCAGATAGCAGTCTGAAGTTTAGGAAAAGATTAAGACAGAGGCAGTACCTCCATAGGAAGGGAGGTGGCAAGGGGGTTGGGATCAAGATAAAAGTAATGACATGGCATTGAGTTACAGACCCTGTTCCTTTTTAATGTGTTTTGACATCACACACAGTTTGTTGAGGGGGCAAAGTTTGCAACATGCCATCACAATACTGCTTTATTCAGAATACTGAAAGCAAGGCCTGTGGATACCACTGATCAGAGAGCTAAAAGGATCATACCTAATGTGTGCTTCACTTTGATCTTAAATGTTCAACATAGGGAGCAACTTCAGAATCTAACTCCTCAATGGGAAGTTTACTTCCATCCCAGTCTGCTTTCATCTTAACTTTCTGTGCAGATTGGATACAAAGGCAACTTTTAAAAAATTGTCACAACAGGAAATAAAAAGTAAAATGCTGGATTTATCTGAACTATATCTGAACAAAATGTATTTCCTGTGTGTCTGGTAGGAATGACACAAGTGTAATTGTAGGATGAATACCTATTGACCAGGAAGTGATCTGATCACAGCAAAAGATTCATAATAATGTTCTCCACTTTAAAACCATATACCATTTGTCTTGAGGAAAGTACTAGGTTTAACATATGACTGTCAACACGGGTGTGGTTGAAATAACCTGGAACAGGCCAGGGAGGCCCTACAATCTAGACCGCACTGGATTCCATACCCAGAGCATGGAAACTGAAACCCACAATTATATTGGTCCTGATGGGACTAATATAATATATACCACCATCAACTCTATCTTCTCTGTATAGTTCTGACTCCTTAAAACATTTATATGCAAACATCAGCAATAGCACAACTGTCCGTATCTTCCCAGCCCTGATGTCTCACTGCCTCTATGTCATGTATAGAGGACTTCCTGTTTGTAGAAGCTTCCCTTTAGCCAGTAACAGCCTGAGGCTGTGGCTGCCAGCAATCCAACCTGTAAGGAGGGCTTGCCCAGTAGGAATCTACATCAATTTGCTGGCCGTTCTATTTTCCTCTATAGCAATTAAGACAACAAGAAACAAATCACCCCCACCTACAGTATTTGATTTCCCAGTGTTCCCTGAACCTTCTTGCCCTAGATTTATCCTGGAATTGTGGTTAACTCCCCTGCTTCTGTTCTGTTTGCTGGTGGAAGGTCCACCTACCACTCCCTGCTTCTCCCTTGTGGGTTATATCTACCCACCAGCTCTTCCACATTTCCTTCTACTTCTGAGTAACATCAACACTCCAACATATTCCAACCACTTCCTCTACTACGGGAGCTCATGGGTTCATTGCCCCCATTCCCAGCTGATGACTCACAACTTCACTTGGTCAGATCATTTCCATATTCCAGAATTCAACTCCCACCCCCAGGCTGGCTCAAATGGATCACTTTCCCTCCTTGATCCTGTGCTTCAACTTTTTTTCCTGCCCATTGTGAAACGGCAGCATCGCTTTGGAGCTACTATGGCTCCAAAGGTACATGCATGTGTTGCTACTTTTCTATAACCTGCCTGTTTTCTTAATGAGGAGCTCCATAACATGACTAAGCATGATTGACATTGGAATTACTGCCTAATCGTTTTCTTCTCCTTTTCTTCTGAAGTGTTTTTCGCATTTGCAGTTCATCATTCTTTCCTTCTGCAATTCTACTACCTCCATTGTCAAACTACTGATCTTTTTAGAAAAAAGAAGGACTGGGGGGGGGGGACACAGTATTCCAGTATTTGAGAGGCTGCCACAAAGAAGAGGGGGTCAATTTATTTTCCAAAGCACCTGAAGGCAAGGCAAGAAACTGGATGGAAACTAATCAAGGAGAGAGGCAACCTGGAATTAAGGAGAAACTTCCTAACGGTGAGGACAATTAACCAGTGGAACAGCTTGCCTTCAGACGTTGTGGGCACTTCATCACTGAAGGTTTTTAAGAAGAGACTGGACAGTCACTTGTCTGAAATGCTCCTGCTTGAGCAGGGGGCTGGACAAGAAGACCTCCAAGGCCCCTTCCAGCTCTATTCTGATTCTGATTCTGAATTCTTGGTTATATCTGTTTTCTTGCATCTATTAGCCACAATTCATTTCAACATCCTCTTGTAATAGTCTCATTGTATTTAATACTACTCACATCATATCATCATTGACCAAAGAAGCACCAGACAAAAACTAGCTAAACTCTGAGCCCCATCTTTATGTTGGATCCTGACAATTATTATTATTATTATTATTATTATTATTATTATTATTATTATTATTATTATTATTATTATTTATTCAATTTATATACCGCCCTTCTCCTATTAGACTCAGGGCGGTGCACAGCCAAGGATAAAAAACATACCAATACAAAATTTAAAATCAATTAAAAGAATTATACAGCTTTGGCCCACAATTTAAAACAATCCAATTTAAAACCCAATTTACACTTAAAAAGCTAAAAAGAGCTAAAAAGGGGGGGGGGTTTCATGCCAGCCCTGCTTGATGGAAAAGAAAAGTTTTTAGGGCACGGCAAAAGGCCCAGAGATCTGGTATCCTTTGTATCTCTGTGGGCAAATTGTTTCAGAGGGCAGGTGCTGCCACAGAGAAGGCCCTCACCCTGGGGGTCGCCAGCCGACATTGCCTGGCTGATGGCACCCTGAGGAGTCCCTCTCTGTGGGAGTGTACTGGTCGGTGGGAGGCTATCGGCGGCAGAAGGCGGTCTCGCAAATACCCAGGTCCGATGCCATGGAGCGCTTTAAAGGTGGTGACCAACACCTTGAAGCGCACCCAGAAGACCACTGGAAGCCAATGCAGCTTGCACAGGAGAGGCATCACATGGGAGCGTCCTCTTGCTCCCATAATCCCCCGCGCGGCCGCATTCTGCACCAGTTGGAGCCTCCGGGTGCTCCTCAAGGGGAGCCCATGTAGAGAGCATTACAGTAGTTCAGGCGGGAAGTGACGAGCGCCTGAGTGACTGTGCGTAAGGAGTCCCGATCCAGAAAGGGCCGCAACTGGCGAATTAGGCGGACCTGATGAAAAGCCCCCCTGGCCACGGCCGTCATATGCTCTTCCAAAGACAGCCGTGTATCCAGGAGGACGCCCAAGTTGCGAGCCCTCTCCGTGGGGGCCAATGATTCATCCCCAATAGCCAGCGTTAGCACCAGCTGGCTATATCGGGACACCGGAAGCCACAGCCACTCAGTCTTGGAAGCATGATACCTATAGAAAAGCAAGCTAGAGTCTTTAAAAGTGGAAATATATTTTGATCCAATTAAAAAATAAATGTACAACTCCTGACCAAATGGGCAGCATGAAGCTTTTCAGGAGCTTCAGTATGGCCCACTATATATATTCCTTGTCAATCTCACATTGTTGCAGTTGTTGATTTTTGGAAAAGTTGTCTTTCTGAATAAAACAATGATTGTGAAGACATTTTACTCCATAACCAGAGCATCCAACATTCTGTGTTGATATTTAGGAACAGTTTAGAACTGTAAGTCACAGAGTCACTTGGTTGAGTTGGGTGGCTATAGAAATTGCATAAACAAATGAACATTACAGTCTTCCCTTTGCAACAATCTTGGGGGGGGGGGTTAATTGCTTTAACTTCTTTCCACAGAAGACTTTATATCATGGGATGGATAAAAGACAGTTTAAGTATGTTGATGCTGGTGTGTCATTTTGGGGGCTGAAAAGGTTACATGCTCCACTAAGTGAATATCAGAATTAAGCAGTTCTCTTTTTTCCTATATACTGCATATATATGTGTATGTGTTTTATTTTACTTTTGAAGCTCCTGTGGAAGTGGTAAATTTCCAAGGGCCATAGGTTCCCTGGGAACAAGTCAGATGACACTGGAGCCCAACCTTGACGAATTCCTTCACATATTGGACATAGTGTGCTTTATGAAACTAAAAACTGAACGTTCCCTGCAAATAACAAAGTTCTAATGAAATTCGGCTGAAAATCAACTGAAGTCAACTTTCAGCTGTGTCTACTATGGGTTGGAGATAAAGGCAACCTTCTAAATAAGGTTTTTGGATCCCTATATTTTGTGATGGTTGTAAGCTGTTACTGTTCTGAGTCAACAGTGGGCAATTTCAGCCTTCGCAGCATAAGGTCCAAACTTTGATTGCTTCCTTATGCTCATTGGATGCCCCTCCTAATTAGGGAATTTAAAGACCATATTGGAGATTTCATGGCCTTACATGCGCTACAAACATTGTAAATTATAAATGGCACTACTGTTACCAATTATTTGGCAGAGTTCTCTCATTGAGTTGGCCGTATCTGATTGACTACATTGCCATTTCAAGAAATCTATGTTTCTCAATTCTCCAGTTCCATATTGTATCATCCCAAGGGTGATTATTGTCCCAACAAACTGCTTTTGGGGTCCCCGTTTTGAATATTCTCTCTCAATGAGCCACTTCCACTATGTGTTCCCTAACCTTTTCGGGTTGGCAGCCAGGCATGGGGGGGGAGGAATGGTTTTGTGCAAGGGGCATACGTGCATGCATGCACCTACTGCAAGCATGAGGGGGGGCTGCGAGCGTCAGCGCATGCCGCAAGCACAAGGGGACTACGAGTGCCAGTGCACATTGGGGGCTGCAAGTGCTGGCATACTCTGCTTGCATGACATAGGCTGTGCGTGTGCCACCACTCACACAGCCCAGTTGCAAACAGGCCACGGCCTGGCAGTGGCCACAGGCCACAGGTTGGAGACCTCTGTTCTAGATGATAGGTCCCCCATCAAACTTTGCCATTTTACATTCATTTAGTTTAATTTTTTCAGCCAATTCTCTCTACTAGTCCATCTAGTGATAACAAGAATCAGCACTCTTAACTAACCTTGGCTTGATAATATGGGCCACACAGCCAAGAAACAACTAATTTCCTGCTTTAAAGGAATATAAAAAAGGATCCTCTCCTACTCAGGACCTGCTTAGGACCTGCTTCTCTTCAAGAGGAAATATAAACAGTTATTGTAGACAAAGAAGAGGCAATCTTGTATCTCTGATAGTCTTGGATTCAAGTAATTTTTGTTGCTCATTCTAAGAATTCAGCTTTATTCTAGGAATGTATAACTCTTCAATCTGCTTCCCCTAATATACAAATTTCATCTTTCAATCCCACTTCAGTTTGGGAAGATGATTTCATTGCTGTACATCCAGGAAGAATTACCCCACCAAAGAGGGAATTAGACCATGAAGTTTTATCTGTTTCCTTCCTCCCCTCCTCAGGCTATAAAATTACAAAAGTGATTGCACAGTTGAAACCAAACAAGCTCCAGGATATGATTTTATTTCAGCAGAGGCTATTTGAAACAACTTAAATTGGTGGGTGCCCATTCTGAATTTCTTACTCACTTACATTAATAATGCTAGAGTCTCTGATGATTGAGACCTAGATTGAATCTCCATAGACATTTATTGTGTACGCAGATGATGCCTTGGTGCTTTCTCAAACAAGACTGTCCTGAAACAGGCACACCATACAGCTGAGCACTGTCATGAAGAATGATTAGAAATTATTCAGCATTATTTGCAGATTTTGGAAATTAAAAAGAAATGTCAACTCGCAACGCATCACTGGCCTGTTGTCAAGTTGCCATAGGCAAGGGGGATGGGAAAACGAACTTTGCAGCTGCAGTGAGAGAGCACTTCAGTCAAAACAAAAGCACATTCCAGCCATCTCTCTGTCAAGGCAATCTCCGTGCTTACCAACAGTGGCTGTGCTTCATTGGAGAATGTGATTGATGACACACCTTGGGGGGGGGGGGAACATCAGAGCCGGTATGTAAATTAAGGTCAGAGTTGGCTTCACTTGCAACCTGCTGACATGAAGCTCCTAATAAATAACTGGATTTCTTTTGAAGCTTGGCTCAAGGCTCATGATTTAATTAGGACATCAGTCGGAACCCTGACAAGAACATCACTAGAGTGAAAACTGAAAACATTCTGACTCTGGCTTTAGGACAATATTATATCATTAGCGTGTCAGTATGTGGCACACTTGGCTGACTTTTTCTGAATTCAAAACCTATGAACCTTGGTTACTACTTGGATGGGAGATCACCTGGGAATTAAAGATTCCCAGGTGATCAAGAAGTCTTGAAAAAAAGTAGTGGCAAACCACTTCTAGTTGCCAAAATTGCATGAGTGTACCCCTGAAGAGATAAGCTTGACGTCAAGGATTTTACCAAAATGTTACCTAACATTTTACGGTAGGAATTACACTAGGAGGAAGAAAATTGGATCAAGTGTCAAGGCTGTAAGAACTTCAAAATAAGCTATTGAGACTGTATTGAGATAAAAGAGTATACCTGTGGTTGCTATAATCTTACAATTCTTATACCTGTTTGCTATACTTCTTATAAGATTGCAATTGTGAAAGAGATAATACCCAAATCAACATGCCCAAATCCATGTTACTTAGAATAATCAACAGTGACTTAAAATATTAAATTTTCCAAATATAATCAATTTGTTTGCTCTGCGAATTATCAACTTTTTAAAAATGTGTTAATGGGGACAAGATTCTATTATTTGAAAATCATAGGAGTTTTAATTAGACAAAAATATTCTTGGTGTTTCTCTTTATGGAATTTCTGCAAACAACTTTCCCCTGAGAATAATTTGCAAGACCCATACCTATCAGAAAATCTCACACCACTACAGAAGTGGTATGCTTTCCTACCCACAGTGAAATAATCACAATGTGATCATGAGAAAGAAACTTAAGGGGGAAGAAAGGGGAATTCAGGGAAAAAAGAGAAACCATTATTGTTGCAAAATGTAAACCACAACAGAAAATCAATCTCTCTTCTTTTTGAGAAGGATTGTACAATATTGTGGGAAAATAAAGGAATGTGTTAAATTGTGCAAATTTCATGCAGCTTTGGAAGTTATAACTACTCTTCCACCAAACCTTTCATATTCAACTGAAACTTGTTTATAAATTGGCTATGGAGAACCAGTGACCAGGGACTGGAGACATTCCTCTACATAGTAACCAACTGGATAGAGGTGTTGCCCACAATGAAATAATAGAATAACAGAGTTGGGAGGGACCTTGTAGGTCATCTAGTCCAGCCCCACCCCCTGCCCAAGAAAGAGACCCTACACCATTTCCGACATGGCAGTCCAGTCTCTTGAAAGCTTCCAGTGATGAAGCTCCCATAACTTCTGAAGGCAAGATGTTCCATTGGTTGATTGTTCTGTCAGAAAATGTCTCATTTCTAGGTCAAACGTCTCCTTGATCAGTTTCCATCCATTATTCCTTGTCTGGCCTTCAGATATTTTGGAAAATAGGTTGAACCCCTCCTCTCTGTAACAGTCCCTCAAGTATTGGAACACTGCTATTATGTCTCCTCTGGTCCTTGTCTTCACTAGACTAGCCATGCTCAGTTCCTGTAACCATTCTTCTTATGTTTTAGCCTCCAATCCCCTAATCTTTGTTGCTCTTCTCTGCGCTCTTTCTAGAGTCTCAACGTCTTTTCTGTAGTGTGACCAAAACTGGATGCAGTATTCTAGGTATAATCTTACTAAGACTTTATAGAGTGGTATTAGTACCTCATGTGAACTTGATTGAATCCCTCTGTTAATACAATTTAGGATTGCATTCTGCTACAGCCAATTTTGTACAGGTCTTAAAGGCACTAGGCTAGAAAAGCAGAAGACCGAGGTCTAATCCTCCCTAGCCACAAAGACAGTTGGGTGACTTTGGGCCAGTCCCTCTCTCGCAGCCCTAGGAAAAGGGCAATGGCAAACTACTTCTGAAAATGTTGCCAAAAAACTTGTCCGGACTTACCCAGATAGTCACCAGGAGTCAACACTGATTTGAAAGAGTGTACAGTACTGTATGTGTGTGTGTGCGTGCACGTATGCACGCGCGCACACACACATGTTCATCTAAAACCATGACACAAATTCTCTTACATTAGGCAGACAAAAATAGACCAAAGAAATATTCTAGATTAATAAAAATGGAAACAATTGGTTTTAACTTCATCCATTTTATTTAACATACGGTATATCTAATTGAGAAAAGTTAATTTTTCTTCACTGATCTGAACTGTTGCACAGTAGCTTGCCTCCTCAATTCTCTTGGTAAATCAGAATACTTAATAATGTTCATATGGATTCTGTAAGAGGATTTACAATTTATTTGTAAAACATTCCTTATAATTAGGATTGACTTCGGCGCCATAGCGTCATTTCTTTAAGTGACTTACCTATGTGATATCTAATTCTTCAGAAATTTGTAATATGCCAGTGCTTATGGAATGTTAAGCAACCAGATATTCACAGTACTAATAATTAGATTTAAATTAGAAAAATGAATGGAATTCTATTCTGCTGTTCTCAATTCCCAAATTAGGTTCTCTAGAGTTTGTCATATTTGTGATTCAAATCCAATTGTACAACTTTAACCTGCTAAATCATATTTGCAAATTCATGACATAATCATTGGAAACATTCTAGTAACAGCATGTAAATACTTTAAATACTTGAGTCATTAATTCCAATTTGTTTAACAATGGGTGATGTTCAGAATATAAAACAATTGGCAGTGACAATGCACTATATGGAGAAGAGTTTGACATAAAAGGATCCTGATTCAATAAATGTTGGATGCTCCAATTCAGAAATTTAAGTCAATCCTCTAAAAATACATCTAAAAGTACATTCTGTGCCAACTTTTGTCATCAAAGCTGCAATATTCCTAAAAGCTATTGTTATTAACAATCCATTTCATTTGCCTGTCAGCCTTAACAAATTTTTTATCATGGCTCCAATACCGTCGAAAATGTGATGAAATTCAGTATCACACATAAATGCTGGTGTAGTAACTATCTTGTTGGTATTGTCCACATGCGCTTCGTGAACGGTAGTTAAGGGAATTAACAAGTGTGTGTAACATTGTAAATTAATTTCCTTCTATTAACAAAAATATCTTCCTATAGATGACAATAATTGGCCAAATTTATCTTGGTTCAGAAACTGGGCAGGGTTGAAGGTGGTTACCATTTGAATGGAAATACTTGGGGTATAGTTTGGATTGGGAAGACAATAAATAAATATTCTGAAAGAAAGTAGTGGTAAGCCATTCTCACAGTATCTCCATAAGAACTGCATATTAGTCACCAAACATCAAGCTCAACTTCAGGAACAGGTTTTTCATATTTGGGTTGCAAAAACCCAGACAATTAGTAGACAGCAGCAAAGTTGTTAGTAGTAATACGGTTTTTGCAGCCTATATATAGTACCTGTATTGGAAGGGTTGATTTGTTTCGCTCCATGTAATCATAACTAAACATCTAAGTTTTAAACATTTATTAAAAAACCAGCCATGCATTTCACAACTATTTAAAGCACAATAAGGTCTCAACCCTTTATTGCTCCAGTATCCATTTAAGAGCCTGGTAGCTAGGCCGCAAATTAGAGATAGAAATAGAAGTTCCAGCACATCATCTGACATTATCTAGGGTTAAATTAATGCCACTAACCTCTGCAAGAACAGTAATAAGAAAATGAAATATTCTCACACTTTCTGGATTACATCTGAAATGGGTATTCAACTAAGGATGTGTTGATTGAAATATATGTTAAATATAAGTTTTAAAAAGAATATTTTAGAATTTAGGACTTTCCCACCCAAATTCGGGGCATAACTTGGACTGAGCAGACTATATTATTATTTGGAAGTTCATTTTGCCACACTATCAAAATAACCAAGGAGTATAAGATAAAAAACTAGAGAACCCTTGCAAAACCAATACATTTCAGAGAAATACAGTGTTGGAGCATTAAAAGCAAGTGGTTGTAGCTGTCAACTTGCAAAGCATCCCTGACCTGCTCTTGAGTAGCCACAGGCAAGGGGGATGGGAAAACGAACTCTGCAGCTACAGCGAGGCAGCACGTCGGTCAAAATAAAAGCCCATTTCAGCCATATCTCTCAAAGCTGTCTCCAGAGTTACCCACAGTGGCCAAAGGGGAGTGATCTCTACAACCCACAAAATTGCTTCGTTGGAGAATGTGGGGGGAGGGGGGAAACAGGGTCAGAGCTGGAACGTAAATTATGTGGGGTCAGAGTTGGCTTCACTTGGAACTTGCTGACATGAAGCTCCTAATAAATAACTGGATTTATTTTGAAGCTTGGCTCATGATTTAATTAGGGCATCGGTCGAAACCCTGACAGCAGCTTCTGTCTGATAGGAAAACTGCATTTCATTTTCAGATAACTGCAGGTTAATGTCACATCTGAACTCAAAAGTGGTCAATAATCTTTACAAGAGTTTACTGAAATAAGCCAAATTTAAGTTGCACACTTCTACTTTCATGTTTCTTGTGGCTAGGCTAAATAATAAAAGAGGGAAATGGGGAATGTATGATATAACCACAACTGAATGTTACTCTATAATGAAATCAAAAGTCTTCAGATGCTCTCTTTTTTAGGAAGTCAGGAAAAGTTTTAGCAATGTAACTCATACCATTATTGGGAATTTATTGGACAATCCAATAAAGTTCTTCACTTCTGTAATTAGAAAACTGTTTTCTAATTACAGTTAGAAAACATTTCAGAGAATTGATGACGTCTATGGATTTTCTTCCAAACATGTATGCGAGAATGGAATTGTAAGCAGAATTAAGAGATTCCTCAATTAAATGGTAACCTGTTAGATGAGAAAACACACCAATGTTTTGAGGGAATTGAGGGACTTTAACTACTCCAACATCAATTGGAAGCAAACTCTGCAGCAAGGGGAGCTCAAACAGGTTTCATACCTGCCTAGCTGACAACTTTGTCATCCAAAGGTGGAAGAGGAAATGAGAGGGTCAACTATACTGGACTTAATTCTTACTAATAGAGAT